AAGATTTACAGTCTAGGAAGCCCCAAGGGGCAGTTCTGTTTTGTCACATGGGGTCGCTATGAGTTGGATTTGCCCTCAGTGAATCAAAGCCAGGCAAAGGCGAGTGTTTTTCCTGAAGGTAACAACTGCCAAACCGCGGTGACCTTGGGCCCAAAGCTGTGTGTGTTGGCCAAAATCTCGGCCAAGAGAAGACCAAGAATGGCTGGCCTTCATGATAAGCTTCGACCTCAGCGAGTCTCACACGGGCTTCACACATTTAACCGATTCACAGAAAAAAATCAGACAGATAAGGGGTAAGAAGGAAGGGAGGGTCGTACATACTCAATCTGGCCATGACTAAAATATAAACTAGCTGTAGGGGGTAAAATAGGATAGGAAAATGTAAATCCACAGAAGTCTTCAAGATTACATACAACTTTTAGAAAAATCAGCCATTGAAAACCCTGTGGAGCACAATTCTACCCGGACACACATGGGGTCACCAGGAGTCAGAGTGGGCATGACGGTAACTGGTTCTTTTTTTTTTTTAATTCCACTCAATGAGGGTAGATTAGTAAATATGAATTGGTTTTTCCTTCAGTTATTCCTAATTCCCTTGTGCCTCTTGAGGCAAGAGAATCTCATCGATGGTGATTCTAGCTTTAAAGACACAATACATACATTTATTGTATTATATGCCCCCACCCCCCTAAAACAAACACATAAATAAAAAGCAAGCCAAATAGTTTATCTGGTGTTAAAAGATATGGATACACCAAGATATGGGATACTATTTCCATCTCGATTGTGGTAACTACCTAAAGAATGTTAAATTCTGACTATACTCTCTTCCACCCTAAGCACTGACTTTGGATGATAACTTCTCTAAAAGAGGCACTTCCACCTTTAATGACTAAGATCTTAAGCAGTTTAAGAAATCCCAGAGCAGTGAACACTGAATTTGTGAAGAAGCTTTGCTTTTTACATCAATTTCCTTTCATCTTTTCTTTTTTAGCAACTTATCAGTTGAACCACACACACATACACACACAAAAAAAGGTTTACATTTTGCTAGACTGTGTCATACTGTTGTTATTGTCCCTAACAATAACCTCCTCACTGTGCACTCCCCTAAAAGGAAGCAGTTGGAGACATGGAGTTAGAATATTGGAAAAGTACCAGAAACACACTTTTGACATTTTGTTTATGACTGAGAACCGTTGTTTGACTCAAATTGGTCAACCACATTTGCATGTTAGTGGAAGCAAATTTAACTGCAAATAGTGAGTTTTACTGAACGTCTCTGGTGTGATGGTTTTAGATGCAGGGCTTGGTGCAGAAAAAATAGATCAGTATGGTGAAAGACAAATGATTCACTTATTATAGTCCCACACCCAGTGAGGAAAAGGGACAGGCATATTAGGAGCTTTGGAAGTCTCTTGCAGAGGTCAGAAAATTTTATATATATATGTATATATATATATATGTAGATATATATATAAATATATACATATATATAAAAATATGTATTTATTTATATATATAAATATATGCCAAACCCGTTGCCGTTGATTCCAACTCATAGCGACCCTATAGGACAGAGTAGAACTGCCCCTTAGGGTTTCCAAGGAGTGCCTAGAGGATTCGAACTGCCGACCTTTTGGTTAGCAGCCAAACTCTTAACCACTACACCACCAGGGTTTGTACATAGATATATAATATTATATATATAACCAAAACCAAACCAAGACCATTGCTGTCATATATATAAACCAAGCCAAACCCATTGCCATCGAGTCGATTCTGACTCATAGTGACCCTAAAGGACAGAGTAGAACTGCCCCATAGGGTTTCCAAGGAGCAGCTGGTGGATTCGAACCAGGAGCCCTGGTGGCGCAGTGATTAAGTTCTGCAGGGGAAAGATGTGGTAGTTTGCTTCTGTGAAGATTACAGCCTTGGAAACCCTATGGGGCGGTCCTACTCTGTCCTATAGTGTTGCTATGAGTTGGTATCAACTCGATGGCAATGGGTCTGGGATTTTGCTATATGTATCTATAGATATAGATATATTAGAGTCCACGGGTGGTACAATCGGTTAAATGCTCAGCTACTAACAGAACGGTTGGCTGTTCGAACTCACCCAGAGGCACCTTGGAAGAAAGGCCAGGTGATCTACTTCCAAAAGATCATAGCCATTGAAAACCCTCTGGAGCACAGTACTACTCTGATACACATGGGGTCGCCATGAGTCAGAGTCAACTCAATGGCAACTGGCTTGGTTATATATATATATGCGTAGATAGATATTAGAGAGAGGTGTGAAAAAGAATGTGAATTTGTGGGGCAATAGTAAGTTCATGCAGGACAGTTTTGGATGACTTCCAGAAATGAATCAGGAGATCACTGAGCTTTTTCAACAGGAAATCAGTGAGTTTTCCAACACACATACATACACTATAGCTCTAGAAAGACCTGAAAATGTGCAGGGGGCTTTCTGGAATAATAGAACTCAAGGCACTGGAATTTGAGCCAAAGTAAATTGGGCAATATAAATGCTGGAAGCCGTGATGTAGGTCTCTGCAGAAAATGTACTTTTCTTTTTTTTACAATTTTAATCTTTTCATTTAGTTACTTTCAAGAGTATTTTTATGTCCAAGAAAACTATCTTAAATAAACTACCTGAAGTGAATGGATTATTCTGAAACAGGAAAGTTAAAAAAGCAAATTGTTTTTCACTAGCACTTCCTTTACAAAAGCACACAATTACTGGAAGTGCCCTTTGCTCTAGCACATGAACTCATTGTGACAATCTTTCTCAAGTGTTTTTACAATTGAACAAATGTTAAAATAGTGATGACATACTTTCCCTTAACAGTTTATTTATAAAAGGTCAAATACTTGTGTGAACTGAAGCTATGAGACCGGAGAAAGCCAACCGAGGCAGAGGCGTACAGTCCCCCACTCCCGTCATTCAGCACCTAACCTGGAAGTTCTAGTCCGTTTCCTTTCAGGTGAAGAACATCTGTGAACTCAAAGCCATCAGTTGGACTGGGTAAGGTTGGTTCAACTTTCTGAACCTATTTACCGGTCTGTAAGATGTGGGGATTGAATTGGATGAGCTTGCAGGTCCAACCTAACACACACTGTCCAGAATGCCCTCGCCTTGGGTGTAGGTGGGGCTTGGGAGTAAGATAGGACGTCACTCCCAAGATGAGGTTCTATGGCAGAAGTGGTTTTGCAGATGTACCAGCCCCTCAAATTCACACTCTAGGAAAACTTGAAAATGTGCATGTATCTTGTCATTACAGGCCATGGGAATGTTTCTTCATATTCTTTCCTAGTTTAAACCATAGTTTTCTTCAAATATTTTAACATGTGCAAGAGATAGCAGTCTTACTCTGTGTGGCGGGGGCAGGAGACAGGTCAGATAGTATGAGAATGGCTGGAAGTTATAGGGAGGTAGTTTTTGCTCAATATGAAGACAAAACAGAGATACAGATGTGAAAGCTCCTCTGTAATCATTTTATTGAATTGTTACAAAGTTAAGGGGTAACTATAATGGGGGGAACACTGCAAGATCAATTACATGTGTGTGGTGTGCACTGGTGTTAGGAAGCATCCCATCAAGCCTTCCTCAGCCTGCAAGGATACACCTTCACACGGTTCAACTTGGTCCATTACCACCAACCTTCTAGGTGTGTCCCTTACCTGGGAACTGGAATTCAAAGTCAGTTGCCAAGAAGGCAAGGGTAGGAATACAAAGCAGGGAAAATGTGGAGAGCTGACATTCGGCTTTGAACAAGATGGGATATTCAGGAATATCAACTCAAGTGTGAAAAGTTATAGAAGCTGGGATGGAAGAGGGTGGAGGCAACCTATCAGCAAAGTGAGGGCAGCCTCTCCATGGAGGCTTTAAGTGCATTATCTCATCTCATTCTCACGTCAATCCTAAGTAGTAGAAGTATGATTATCAAATCCATTTATGAATGAGGAAACTGAGGCTGAAAGTAGTTAATGTTCCCTAGCTGCACAGGTAGTAAGTGGCAGAGGGGGGACTTGAACCCAGGCAGTCTTATCTCAGAGCCTTCACTCCCAACCACCAGTGTCTCAGTTGGAATAAATGGGAAGAGTTCCATTCTGTCCCCTTGGGTTAGGGAGAGGAAGAGAGCCCTGTACTTGGGGTGGCCCACGTTGTTCTGATGTCAGGGAACCTCAAGTTGGTGGTGAATATTAGCAGAGAAGAGCTGAAGATTGTTGTAATCAGTCCTTTACTAGCTGGAGATACTCCCCACAGGCGCTCGTTTCCTATAAATTGTCTTTTAGGAAAGGAGATCACTCCTTCACAGTCCCTGGTTGGTATGATGCTTCTTGTTAGGTCAACGTTCTGTCTTTGTAGCTCTATCTATTGCAAATTTATCAGACTGTCTGGACTCTTTACCCACTTGATTTGGTATTTCCACCTCTAACTCTAGAAGTTTGCAAGACTGACCTGTCCTATCCACTGTGTTTTGATGGAGAGAGGTAGCTGCCATTTGGGAGGTTGTCTTCCAGTGGTGAGGGGACCAGACATTAACAATCCTGGGGCCTCTTCCATTGCCATCCTGGGCTGCCTTGTGCCCCTCCCCAACACCCACCCCCTTGGGAGTGCTATGTGCCTCACAGCAGGGAATGTTCCAGGGCTGGGCTGCCATCTTCCACGCACCCCATAGCCAGGCAGGACCTCTGGTTAGTCTAGTTCCTGCTTGCTCCCATCAGGCAGGAAAGGTGTGTAGATACTAGGATTGTGGGAAGGTGGGGGCAATTCCGACTCCTTGCAGCTCTAGCTCTAGGTTCAGTAACAGACCCTCAAGCCATGGCGTGGGTCTACTGCTAAGTTGGGGGAAATGGAGAATTCCACTGAAGGGCAGGTTTACCTAGCCTCGGGATTGCATCTTTGGAAGCCTGCAGTGCTGTCCTTGTAAAAACGCAAAGCAGAGTCAAAAATTAGTATGATCTTTAAAAGGTCAGACTGAGTCTGAACATAGCTCTTCTTTAAAATGCTTTATCAATTAGAGACCAGAGTTTTTTCCTGATGATATTTATTTCATAAATGTAATTATTTTTCTAAAACATATTAAAATAGAAAACATGTTCTTTTGATCAATTTATACAAAGAAAATATCAATATAGTAATAAAAATACTGAAAATATATGAAAAGCACCAGAACATTAGAGAAATTATACTGGCAACAATTCTAGGAATATATTTTTTTTTTGCAATTGTATAATAAAGTGCTATTAAATCCAGTCAAAATTAGTGGCAAGATATAAAAACAGTTATGGTATTATTATGAAACTTGAGGCTAGGTTTACCAGCAATCACATTATGCTACTTGCAGATCAATTTAATAATATTTCATTAATGTTTTCAAGGAGAATCTATTAATTTCTACTCCCAAGTGAAAACAAAAATCTTAATCTAAATGTTGGTCCTTGGTAATTTGGTCATGAACCACTAATGACATGATTAATAAAAAAATTCTTAAAAATTACAGAACGACAAACTGTAGAGTTCCAAAAATAATCATACAAATGTGATTAAATAAACTCACGTGAAGACAGAATAAAATCAAATGTAAATATATGTGATTAATCAAGACAAGTACAAAAGTAGTTAGATGCCTTTGACTTTATCGTTAATTTTCAATAATTCTGCCTAGTCACATTTAATAGACACATAAATGTTAGCAAGACATGTTACTAAATTCAATAATGAAAGACGAACCAGACATCAAGCAAGAATATTTTAGTGACTCAACAGAATTTTCACGTGAAACATTAAAGGGACACTGTTAGGACAATTCGTTTCCGTTCTTAACTAATTTTTTCCTCATTTATTTGTGGAGGAACAAAAAACATACACAATTACTTTGGGATTGGGTTATATTAGAGCTCCAAATTTCACATACAAGGGACAGCCACTGTACACGTACACAGGGAGAGACTCTGACTAGTACTTAGGGTGGACTGCGGTCCGTTTCACATCTGGAGTTGGTAAACTGAAACAGAAAAACCAATCCAATTAAGACAAAGTAGCAGACCAGTGTCCTTTTAAAGTTTTATTTCCTAGGTCAATTTTGAAGGAACTCTATTGTATCACGTTTCATAACTCAACTTCCAAATTTCCACTTCTAAAGATGAAAGCTGACAACACTATACCTCAGAATTAACAATAAATCCCTACACATGGTACCATCCAAACTCAAAATGTATTTTACAGGCAGACTACTTTTTCTTTCAGATAAAGTAGATTCACATTTCAATCAACGTGGACTGAAAATGAGCATATGAATAATAAAACCCACTTAGCTTCATTAGGCCCTGCTCCTGCACAGTGTATCTTTGAGGAATTAGCAATCACATTGGGAATTATTGCAACAAAGGCAGAGAACCAAGCGAGTCAATTCACCCTGGTTCAAAGGTTTTACAGTCCATCAGGAGTTAAGAGTTTTCATTCCTTAAACTGATAGCTGACCCTTGGCGCTTCTAAGTTCTATTCCACCCTTATGGATGCTCGTCTTTTGTAAGTTCCCTTCTCATGGCTGATTTTAACAAGGAACTGAAATGTAAATTAAATATACTGCTATGCAGCTCAAAACACTACTTTAAAAAAATTATCTAGATCCTTTTATCTACAAAGAAGATGAAGAAGTGCAACTCAGGGTCCACAAAGAGACTTGTCTCATCTGGAAGGCGAGTGAAGTCAGTACAATGCAGGTTCTGGCACTCTCTACAAATTAGGTGAAAGGTTCAGTGTCCGGCCCCAGGCAGCAACACGTGACTGCGTCAAGAGGGCTGGAAAGTGGACCTGCTTGAAGAGATTTCCTTCTGGGCGTTACTAACAGAATTCAAAGAAAAGCCAACAAAACTCAGTTTTCCAAATGCCCTCTAAATGAGAATATTCATAAAAAAGCCCCAGATTAATAAAAGGCAGCCTGTTAATCAGGAACACTGATAAGAAACAAAGGCTAAAGGTGGTTTGGCATCAGAGAGTTCTACGTTCCAAAAGAATAGTGACTATCATCTGGAAGAAATTCTCAAAATTACCAAGTCATGATTACATAAATTACTCTGTATAAGTCGGTTTTCTTTTCCAATATACTTGTTCTCCTATATACATAGTATAGAAAAGCAAACAAGTTGGCTCAGCTATAATAATTCCATCATTAAAAAGCAGACTACGTTTTTTGGCTGCAACAAAGCATTTTACTTATATTCTTCAGTTCAGCTAATGTATATACATGATAAAACTTAAACAAGCTTTAAAAGCATTCAAACCAAAATGAAAAAAATAAATTATATTTAAACTATTAATTTACACAATGGATACGCCTTTACTTACTAACTATATAATCTCTTATATATTTCTTCAGCACTTTTAAGGTAATTCCTTATTCTAACAGTTTATTTTTAAGACATGTATCTATTCCCCTCTCCCCAAATGTTGCACATTTCCATCTAGAAAGCACAGATGTGCATCCCTTCCAGTATTTTCTAGTTTGGTGGAGAAGTTTGGAGTCCGTTACTTGTTTCAGCTAACGAACGAATCAGCCATGTTGCCTACCGGGCACCACTTCTCTAACTGTACAACAAGTAGAAGAAAGAGATGACAAAAGCAAGCGAGAGCATCGTTAGGGAAAGCAGCAGCTGTTGGAACCAGATACAACGCTGGACTTGGTCTTGAAGCTTCCTATTGCTTTCTAGTAAGCGATTGAGCTAAAGAGGAAAAAAAGGGTGAAAGATGTGTATCAATAAAATAGTACACTAATCAAGGGAATGACAAATAGGAATATTAGAAATCCATACATTTAAGGGATGGGGTCCATCTACTCTGAAAGGCTTGGAGCTGGAAATGCAATGAGGAATTAGATTTGCTACATGGACATGTATCCGCTTACTGTCATTTTTAAAAGGATAATTTTCTAGTTGACAAAGGAGTAAAGCAATTATTTCCTGGAGGTACAGAACCCCTTGAGCTCCCACAGGCTACTCAGAAAGAGTGCCCCTCCATTTCTTTCAAGTTTAAATGCACCACATGGTACTTTTTCCACTAGATGGAATTCTTTGGTACTCTCCAAACCACCATGACCTTTGCTATCCTGTCCCTATTCCAAATGAAAACCTCCAAAAGTATAACTCATCGCTTACTATTTCTAATTCACCTTCCCTTCACAAAGAAGACAGCATTTCTGTCCTGTCTATGCCAAAGATTCTTCCTTGTGTCAGTGGGAAAATGGGATTTCTAATGTTGATTTGCATTGACAACTTGGTTTTCGTTAGGAAGCACGAAACCTTACCTGTAGACATATATCTTCACTGGTTTTATCCAACATGTTAAAAGCACTGTCTTTTAACGTAAGAGTGGTTGGTTTACTGCTTTCGATAATATGACATCTTAATCTACAAAAATCCAAAATAAACATAACTTTTAAAAATTGTTAGTTGAATTTTTTTAGAAAAGTAAAATATAAAACGAAAAAAGCCAAATACAGAAGTGTATGAAACAGGTGTGAAAAGTACTCACACATCTCACTTATCCTCTCCCCACATATACCCAAGGTAGCAGTTCAGTTTTTTCACACAGGTGCAAATAACAGAAGAGATCACAAATACTGCTCAGTAACCCATAGTATGCAATGGAAAGCTTTTTATAAGGTATTCAGTAGAATTCACCCAAACATCTTACAATTTTAAGGAAACTATCCTTTCTAGGTAGGAGATGGCACTTGTTGGGCCTTTAGTACCAAACCACAGAGCCTCCCACTTCCTGTGAGATAACACTGATCCCATCTTGACAGGTACAGGAAAACAAGCCAGTAGGAACTGATACACAAACAAAAAAACGTACAACCCCCCCAAAAAAACTCCCCCAATTTTGAGGGACTGTTTCAGAAGTACTTTAAAGTCATCTCCAACATCTTTTACACCAGAGTTTCTTAACCTTTCAAAATATTTCCATAATCATGGCTTTGACAAAAATAAACTCTGGATAAAAATATAAACAGGTCCTCCAACAACTTTAACATTTAAATATATACATAGTTCATCTAAAGAAAGTCAAGCCAATTCCAGCCTTACCTACCTTCGCACTCCTTCCTTCCTCCAGACAAGGCTAACCCCCACCTCTGCTTTAGGTCCTGGCCCTTTCCACCATCTCAGGAATTGCACTGCCAATCATCTACCTTGTATATTCCACTTCTCTTCAAATGATCCTTGCTACCGGCTTCTAAAAGGCCCTCAAATCTCCCCCATTGACAAACCCAAAACAAAACAACCCCTTCATCAATGCCATATTCTTCCTTCCAAATCCTACCCTAAGCCCTCCCCAACAAGCCAAACCTCCAGAACAAGTTTCTGATTTCCATCTCCTCAGCTTCTGGAGGATGGCTATTGGTACTGGCTCCAGCCATTGAAAGAGGTCTCCGTAAGATCATCAATCACCTCTGTGGTGTCAACACCACTGATCACTGCTCACTGCTCACGCCTCATCCCTCCTGACCTCATGGCAGCATTTGATACTACAGACCAGTTCCTCCTTTGTGAAGCACTCTCCTCCTTCAAGGACAGTCACCACTGACTGCTTTGCCTCCTAACTCTGTCGGATCATTCTCCTCTATTTGGCCATCAAATAGTCCTCCAGGCTTGGTCTAACCTGTGTCCCCTCTTGCTGGGACAACTGAAATACAGCTTGTCTCGTTGGGCCCACTCTTGTTCTCTTCCAATCCACAAATGGAGTCTGATCTTTTCAAAGCAAACCCAATCAGGTTGATGCCTCACCACGGGCTTCATGATCGTGATCTCGCCTGCCTCTCCACTTTCTTACCATGGATTCTCTCACTGTGTTCCAGCCACACCTATATTCTTTCAATGCCTTTTTGAAGATTTCCTTCAGTCATGACCATTACTAGTTTCCCAGCATCTCCTCTATAAAACGAGGTCAATAACAGCACCTATCTCACTGGGCTGTTGTACAATAAATGAGTGCATGAATGTCAAGAACTTAGGACTGTGCTGGCACACAGTAAGCTCTATTTAAGTGCTAACTCTCAATATCACTACTTCACCTGTGCCTCCTGCCCACGGTCTATTTTCCACACAGCTTTCAGAACAATCCTTTAAAAAAATAAGCCAGTCACCTTGAAGCCCTACTCCGCACCTTCTTATGGTTGCTCCTATCACTTAAAGTCAAAAGTCCTTGCTACAGCCACGATCTGGCTCCCAACTACCTCTTTGACCTCATCTCCCACCACACTCCCCCTATCCACTCAAGCTACATTGACCTCCTTGCTGTTCCCACATGGACCAAGCACACTCCTTTTTCATTTGTTGTTCCCTCTGCCTGGAAAGCTCTTTTTCCAGTCATCTATGGGGCCTGCTCTCTCATTTCCTTCAATTTCTCCTCAAATGTCAGCAGAGTGGCCATCCTTAACTACTCTTTATAGGTCTCTCAATCCTGGCATCAGTGACATGTTGAGCCGGGCAATCCTTTGTGGTGGGTGCTGTCCTGTGCACTGTAGGATGTTGAACAGCCTCCTTGGCCTCCACCCACTTGATGCCAGTAGCACTATCTCCACCCAGTTGTGATAACCAAAAAATGTCTCCAGGCATTGTCAAAGTCCCCTGCCCTCCTCTCCCACCCCCCATCTAAGGACACTGCTATAAACAACAGGAACACTCCAATAAGCAAAACGAAACCATGACACATACCCTTCTCTATTCTACCCTTTGTGCATCTTTTCAAGGCATTTATCACTATCTGACATACACACATACACATATATGCATATACCTACACACTCACAGGTTTTTCTCCAACTAAACAGGACAATGTCATACATGTTTTTCTGTGACCAGATTTTTTTCTACCAAATAATGCATCACAGACATCTTTCCACATCAGAAGAAACAGATATACCTCACCTTTCTGAATGGTTGTAGAGTACTACTCCTGTGAGTCAGAATTGACTTGACGGCAATGGATTTAGTTTTTTTTTTTTGGTTAGACTACTCCTTAATAGGGTGTTATGGATTGAACTGTGTCCCCCAAAAATATGTGATATAAATCCTAACCTCTATGCCTGTGGTTATAATCCCATTTGGCAATGGGTTGTCATTATGTTAATGAGGCAGGATTGCTGGAGGGTGTGTCTTGAGTCAATCTCTTTTGAGATATAAAACAGATTATATGTAAGCTAGCAAGGAGTGATGGGGGCGGTGGGGGAGAGATGCCAAGCCACATGAAGATGACAAGGAACGGAAGCTCAAAGAGACAAGGACCTTTCTCTAGAGCTGACGGAGAGAGAAAGCCTTTCCCTAGAGCTGGCACCCTGAATTTGGACTTCTAGCCTCCCATACTGTGAGCAAATAAATTTCTGTTTGTTAAAGCCATCCACTCGTGGTATTTCTGTTATAGCAGCACTAGATAACTAAGATGTGGTACTGGAAGAGTGGGGTGCTGCTCTAACAGATACCTAAAATGTGGAAATAGTTTTGGAATTGGGTAATGGGCAGAGACTGAAGAGTTTTAAGGTGCCTAATAGTAAAAGCCTAGATCGCCTTAAAGAGACTGTTGATCTAATAATGGACACCAAAGGCAATTCTGGTGAGGGTTCAGAAGGAAGTGAGGAGAGCTATAGAGAAAGTATCTATTGTCTTAGAGAATATATATGGTGCCAGCAACAGAATGTTGCTAGAAATGTGGATGTTAAATGTGCTTCCAGTGAGGCTTTAAAAGGAAATGATGAACATGTGATTGGACAATGGAGGAAGGGTGATGCTTTTCATGCAGTGGCAAAGAACTTGTCTGAATTATGTTCAAATGTTTGCTGGAAGGCAGAATTTATAAGTCATGAAGTTGGGTATTTGGCTGATGAGATGTCTAAGGAAGATCTTAAACGGGCTGTGGGGTTACTCCCTGCTGCTTATAGCAAAATGCGAGAGGAAAGAGATGGACTTAAAAATGAACTGTGCAAAATGAAAACAGAACTTAAAAGATTTGGAAAATTCTATTCTACAAACTAAGGATACATGTCCTAGAATGTTCACCAAGGACATGGCTACACAATCTTTTCTTAAAGAAATTAAGCCTGTGACTGATGGATCTAACCAACCACTACAGCAGAAAACTCATCAGCTTAGACTTAAGGGGACAGAGAAAGAATGAAAGGAGAAAATGCTGTCTGCCTCTTCTAATTCTACAGGCAGGAAGCAGGCCAAAGGAGCTATATCTGTTGTCCTCCAAGAAAAGAAGAGGCTCATCCCTGGAGCAGCTCGGAGATCAGCAGAACTGTCAGAAGGAGCATGGGAAGCAGGGCCTTCTTGGTTTCAAAGGTGGGGCCGCGGCCTCCTGGATCTCAAAGAGTGGGACCCCAGACTCCTAGGTTTCAAAGAGTCAGATCTTTGCCAGCTCGGTTCTGGAGTGGGGCTGCTGCTAAGATGTGCCAAGGGGATGGGGCTACTGTCCAGAGCTGAGGGGGCAGGGCTGCCATGCCCAAGGGGCAGAAGAATGGGGCCTGCCTGGGCAGAGGGGGTAGGGTCAGCACTCAGATGGACTAGGAGAATGGGGCTGCCTAAAGCCTAGGGAGCAGAGTTGCCATCTCAGAGGGTCTGGAAAGCTGAGCTGAAGCCCAGGGCCAAGGGACCTCCACCAGAATCCAGAGGCTGTGGCTAACACCCAGAGTCTGGAGGGCAGGGCCACTGCCCAGATGGTCTCAGAGAACAGAGAATTACTTTCAAACCTTAAGAGCTAATGTAAATTGTTCTGCTGGGTTTTAGACTTGCTTGGTGCCCATTATTCCTTCTTTCCCTCCAATTTCTCCCATTTGTAATGGAAATGTCTACCTTGTGCCTGTTTCACCACTGTATTTTGGAAACGGACAACTTGTAATTTAGATTTCACAGGTTCACAGATGAAGAGGAACTTTGCCCCCGGATGGAATGTGCCGAAGTCTCACCCATATTTGATTTAGATGACTCAGAAGATGAGATTTTGGACTTGGAGTGGATTGAAGACTTTTGGGATGATGTGATGGGGCGAATGTGTTTTGCATGTGGGAAGGACATGAATTTTTGGGGGCCAAAGGGTGGAAAGTTATGGACTGAACTGTGTTACCCCCAAAATATGTGTTCTACATCCTAATCTCTATGCCTCTGGTTATAATCCCATTTGGCAATGGGCTGTCTTTGTTATGTTAATGAGACAGGATTAGTGTAGGGTGTACTTGAGTCAATCTCTTTTGAGATATAAAAGAGAGTAAACACAAGCTAGGAAGGAGAGACAGGGGAAGAGAGATACCAAGCCACATGAACATCACCCAGGAGCAGAAGCTCAAGGAGACAGGGACCTTCCTCCAGAGGCCAAAGAAGAGAAAGCCTTCCCCTAGAGCTGGCACCCTGAATTTGGACTTCTAGCCTCCTGAACTGTGAGAAAATAAATTTCTGTGTGTTAAAGCCACCCATCTGTGTTACAGCAGCAATAGATAACTAAGACATTGGGAAATGCTCAAATGTATTTCACTATTGCCTTCCTGGTAATGATTTAGGTTCTTTCTTTTCAGTTTTTCACTATCACAAACAATGCTGCAACACATATTCTCGTACACGAGGTGAACATTCCTATAAGGGGAACTGCGAGGACAAGAGATCTGCATTTGGAAGTTGGAGAGGTCAGATTCTTGCACTGGCCTGCAGGCATGTTTCTGCTATGAGCTGAGTCTCTGAGAAATGCCAGGTCTTTTTCATCTTGGCATCCCCAGAGCCTTACAGAGCTCTGCGTCCCCATCAGACAATTAAACATCTGCCTCGCCCATGTTGGCATACTTCTTGCTGATTTTTCCCAAAACATATTTGAGAGCCTATGAGTAAAAAGCATACCTATGCTCCATAACTTTGTTTTTGGGAACTTCTTTCCAGAACTGCGTCAACTCTGCTGGGCCTGTGCCAGATGACTGCTCCATTTCTGCAGCCATTATCAGAAAACGGTCCTGTGCAGAGACTGTTAAACCTGCATTCCAAAAGGGTAATTCATCAGACAAACAGGAACCTTTACAAAGGGCTGGACATGTGGCTGAAGGCATTATACTAGAATACAACATTAAGGAACAGGAAGGAAATGATAGGACTACCTTGAAAAAGGAAAAAGTTTTTCTAAAGAATTATTATTATTTTTTTGAAATCCAATTTCAATTGTGATCGTTTTAAACAATCTTACTTGTTCAAAAACAATTAAATTTTAAAGTTGGAAAGGAATTTAGACATCCATTTGGCTATCGCATTTTACATATGAGGTAACAGGTTAGTAGAGTGAGGTGAGGTGACTTGCTGATACTCCCCTAATTTCTAGATTTGAGCCCAGCTCTGCTGCCTCAACTCCCAGCCAGCCCCAGGTTCCCCCCATGACACCCTACACTGGCCAACATGCTGCAACTCACCCCCGTGGGGAGACACAACTATATCAACAGATGCGCCAGGTTCACAACTGCTGTTGCTTGGCTTGACTCTGTATTTCTCTGGAGCGGTTGTTCTCACCTGTTTATGAAAACAAAAGTCACATAATACCCTTCAAACATTTTGGAAGGAAATGGCTTTAAAATAACTTAAAGAAAATTAGCAGGTAATTATCAGTGAACAAACTGTTTACAAAGCAACTTTACTGGTTTTATGCATAGAATGTACCTCCCCCCACCAAGAGGAAAAAAGTCTCTTCATCTATTTAAAAATATACTCGTAACTCCAATTATCACTTACTTGTACCCGTTGCTGTCGAGTCAATTCCGACTCATAGTGACCCTATAGGATAGAGTAGAACTGCACCATAGGGTTTCCAAGGAGCAGCTGGTGGATTCGAACTGCCAACCTTTCGGTTAGCAGCCAAGCTCTTAACCACTGCACCATCAGCGCTCCAATTATCACTTAGTCTTGCTAATAAAAAATCAATCCATCTGTTAAATATTTATCCTGTCTGTTAATTGCCTAAATTGAATAATACAAATTCAAAAAAATCAATGCACATTGGAACACATCTTGCAATAGTGTTTAGAAATTAAAAAACAGTAGATAATCAAAGCACAACCAAAAGATCCTAGTGGTTAAATCTAAATTAATAGAAGATTTAAGGAAGTAACACCTACAATATGAAGTGGTGGTGGTGGTGGGAGACTCTTAATTATGCTATAGTTAATGCTCAGTATCAGGTTAGTATCTAAACTAAACTACACTCTGGAATAGACAACACTTGGGGGGGGAAATGTACTTTATTTTATAATTTCATCTTTCACTGTTATCATGAATTATATTATTCATATCATGAAGAGCAATTTCTCTTGGGTTTTAATTTACAACAATCACTAAACCCTGGGATCAATTTGGACATTAGCCTATTACTGCACTTTAAAGACTGAGACACAGATCCCAGGGAAAATTTTAAATAAGCAATACTGTGTGCTTAGAACTAGGAGGCAGTACAACATGCCTAAAATACAAATAAAAAATTGCTGAATTCCAAAATTATTAATCTTTCAATTATACAGCTAAAATCACTTCCCATGTGAAATTTTCACACGATTTGTTTATTATATCTCTAAATATTTACCTTAAATGCCACTATATTTTTAGTTACATTTGTCAACACTATTAACGTTTTCTTCTCTCCAGATTCTGCAGTTCCAAAATACAGTTCTTCTGCTGGGCTATGATGTAACAAAAACATAAAGCATATGTATTACTCAGAATAAATGACAACTAATTATAAGCCCGAAGAAAAATATTTCATTAATATTTTAAATCCATTTGTAAAAAGAGATTTCATCAAAAAGATAAAACTACAAAATGAATATCTAATGTATTTTGTATTTTAATCTTACTGATTCAATATATGCTATTTAAGAAGTCCTATGGTTTTCCTTAAGATCAAAAGCAAAATAGGAGAGAAGAGAGAATTAGAAAGATTCTGAATTAGTCCTATACTCAGCACAATCTTAAGGGGCATTTATTAAAATTCTTAGGAAGGTTATAGATAATAATCAAAGCAAAGAAGGTAATGTTGCTTCAACCTTACCTAATTACAAATAAAGCGGAATACGGCATTATTTTTATACACCAACAGAGAGGAGCAAAACTTAAAAAAGGAAGTTCATTAGGGATGTATTCAAGTAACAGAGTAATTTCCTGGTAAACATAAAGGCTATTTCTAAGTACAGTCATGCATCACTTAACATCCACGAGATGTTCCGTGAAACAGAATGATTATGTGATTTGGACGTTGTGCGAACACCATCAGGCAGTTCCCCGGGTTATAAATGTCAGGCTTATGTACAACCCCTAGTTATGGACCAGCCCCCGTAAAGCCTATTATATTAAAAATTCAAGGTACATATAATGGTTCGTAATAATAAACGGGTGCTACTTTGTGATGCACATCAAAATATTATTATTACTGTATTATTATGTTAAAGATGCTTTAGTGTATCTGGAAGTGTTTCTTTAATGTTTTTTATGCATAGAAAGGTACATTATATATTATACACTAAGACAAACATTTGAGTAACTGATGTTAGATACGAATTGTACCTAACCGTTCTGACTTATGTACAAATTTGACTTAAAGACAGATTTAGGAATGAAAATCATCCGTAATCCAGGGACTGCCTGTACTTAGCAAACCTATATGGGATACTGTAGTGTACTCTACCATAATATGCCTGGCAGCGCAATTGCTTCATATAAGATTTGTTTTTCTTTTTTTTATTGTACTTCAGGTGAAGCTTTACAGAACAAATAGTTTCTCATTAAACAGTAGTACACATATTGTTTTATGACGTTGGTTAACCACCCCACGACATATCAACCCTCTCCCTTCTCAACTTTTTTTTTTTTGGTGAAAATATACATAGCCAAAGATACACCATTTCAAAAATTTCTACATGCACAGTTCAGTGACATCTACTACGCTCTTCCAATTGTGCTGCTATTCTCACTTTATTTATTCATTTATTTACTTTTTTAAATTGTACTTCAGGTGAAGGCTTATAAAACAAATAGTTTCTCATGAAACAGCAGTACACATGTTGCTTTATGACACTGGTTAACAACCCCACAACATATCAACCCTCTAACTTCTCAACCTTTTTTTTTTTTGGTGAAAATACACATAGC